CAATATATAATCGCCTACAGTACCATCCTCTCATCCACCGTCCCTAGTATTATAGTTTACCCTACACAGAATAGTTAAAGTCAGTCATAGTTTAGTTAGTTGTTAGTTTTTTTAATATAAAATTAGGGTGACAAACGAGCACACAGTCCACAGTGGTTGCTATGGCCCATAGCCATCTGCATCTATCTTCGTTTGCTAAGTAAGTTGCAGAAGCGTTGTCACCCGTGAGGACTAAGATGGAATGCCTCTTTTCTAGTAAAATGGGTCTCCGGTTCTCTACACTCACCATACGAAACACAGCAGCATTAAGCTGCTATTTTACGCTGGTATTCTGTGAGAGCGTGGTCCTTCCCCGGTCGAGCCGACCCATTCGTGCTACAACTATACTATTAATATAGCTATAGCATGGCTCTACCACGTCTATCACGTCATCACGTCACGTCTTGGCAATGTAAACAAAAATCAATTATTAAAATATATTGATAATCTAAATACTTTAAATGTACATAAAATTATCTTGTTTACATTGCCTTACATACAGGGTTGGCCGCAGGAAAATAAAATAAGATATGATTTAAATTTATTAATGAATAACTTTTCTGTAATAATAATTTAAACTTGATATTTAATTGTTACAATTATAATGATAGAATTAATTTAATAGATATAAATAATTTAATTAAGAAATTTTTGACTAGAGATAGGTATTACCTATCAAAATATAATTTAAGACAGATAGCAAATGTGCTATCTTATTATTTATATATTAACTCAGCCAAGGACTTGGCTACACAGACATCTGCTTCTTTTGAGCAGTGTAATGACTTAATATGCAATTTGAAATCAGTTCCAAGTAATTTAAATTAGAAAATGAGACAATAGAGGTAATCTCTAGCAGTTATAATAACTTAAATAATTTAGAATGTAGCTTACAAATGTTTAATTGTATTACTCCACAGAGTAATAATGAAAATTGTTTACACCTGGTGCATCAAAATATACAAGGCATGATAGGCAAAGAGCTAGAAATTGAGTTGTTCTTAAATAGCAACAATATTCATATCTTATGTATTACTGAACATTGGTTAAAAGCTTATAATTTAATGTTTAACTTCAGTAATCACCAGGTGGTCAGTTCTTTCAATAGAGATACGGTTTTAAGAGGTGGCTCCTTAATATTAGCTAGTAAATTATTATCATGTAAAGAACGTAAAGACATTGTGAGCCTCTCTGTTGAGCGAACTGTAGAAATGGCATGTGTTGAGTTTGAGCACCTCATTGTTGTGAGCGTCTACAGACCCCCATGTTGTACATATGATACTTTTGAAAACATTATGGAGGAAGTTTTTGCTAAGCTTAATAAACAGAATAAATCTGTTGTAATATGTGGAGACTTTAATATCAATCTCCTAGAAGCTTCCTCCATCAATATAAATTGTAAATTTAGAACATTGTTTAAATCATATGGTCTTTTCAATTTATTTATAGAGCCAACGCGTATTTCTCAATCTAGTGCAACATGTATAGATAACATTTTTACAAATGTGAAGCCGTTGCATAAATGTATAATTTAAAAATTAAGTTCTGATCACTGTGGACAAGTAGTTTCGTTACCTTATGTTCACAAAAAGCAAGTAGATGAGAAAGTTGTGTCTGTTCCAGTAAATGCACGTCGCTTGGAGAAATTTAGAAGTAACATAGTGAAAAAACTTCCATCACTTTCATACCAAAATGATCCTAATTTTTTGTATGGAACATTATTTAAGCTTATTTGCAATGAATTTAATAATACTTTTACTTCTAAAACATTCTCCTTGAACAGTTGGAAGTCATTCAATGAATGGGCGACAGTAGGAGTCCATAAGAGCAGGCATAGGTTATATGATCTTTACCATGAAAGGTCATATAATCATAGCGTCGAATTTAGGGAATATGTAAAAAAATATTCAAAAATATTTAAAAGAGTGTGCTCCATAGCCAAGTTGAGCAACAGAATTAAGACGGCTTCCAATAAAATTAAAATGACATGGAGTATAATTAATAGCGAAACTGGTAAGATCAACTCTCGCAATTCAAATTACCAGTTAAGTGTTAACAACAAATTAACTGTATCAGATCAGGACGTAGCAATGGTTTTTGAGAAATATTTTACTGATATTCCGATCTTGACCACTAAGTCACTGAATTCTTCTCCTGCCGTCGCCGAATCATTACTTAAACAAAATGTAAATGTGTGTACAAAGAATTTTATATTTCATAAAGTGTCATCAAAAGATATTGTAAAATATTTTAAAACTATTGATGTTAAGAAAACTGCGGATCTGTGGGGGATTTCCGTTAAAGTTATTGCGTCTATAATAGATACAATCGCGCCTCATTTAGCTACTATTTTTAATACTAGTATCGAATCTGGTGTGTTTCCTGATTTAATGTAGCATAGTAAAGTAATACCTTTATTTAAATCTGGTAGTACATTAGACCCCGCCAATTTTAGACCTATTTCTGTACTACCAACACTTAGTAAGATTTTTGAAAAAATTGTTCTTGATCAAATGTTAAATTTTTTTAATATAAATAATTTACTTCAAAAAATCAATTTGGTTTCACAAGGGGTCGCTCGACAACTGATGCCGGTGTTGAGCTGATTAAATATATCTTTAATGCATGGGAGAATTCACAGGATGCTTTGGGTATATTTTGTGACCTATCCAAGGCCTTCGATTTGTTCACCATGAAACATTAATCAGGAAACTTCAACACTACGGTGTAAGAAGTGATGCCCTTAAATTAATTATTTCATATTTAAGTAAGAGAACGCAAAAAGTTGTCATTAGCAATATGAGCTCTTCCGGATCGACGGTACAAATGGGCGTGCCTCAAGGCTCAATTCTCGGCCCCTTTCTGTTTCTTGTATACATTAATGACTTACCTTACATAGTAGGGGATAACCATGATATAGTATTATTTGCAGATGACACTTCTTTAATTTTCAAATTAAGTCGACAGTTACTAAAATATGACGAAGTAAATAATGCTATATCTAAATTAGTAAATTGGTTCGATGTTAATAATTTGCATTTAAATGGCACTAAAACAAAATGTATGAAATTCGTAACTCCAAATGTCAAACAATTAAATACTAATGTAATTTTAAATGGGGAGAAACTGAGTCTTGTAGATACCACCATTTTTCTTGGAATCACACTAGACGCGAAGCTTCAATGGAGCCCCCATATATCAAAACTAGCAAGCAGACTTAGTTCTGCAGCATATGCTGTAAAAAAGATTAGAAGTCTAACCAGTGTTGAAACAGCTAGACTAGTTTACTTCAGCTACTTCCATAGCATAATGTCGTATGGTATTTTGCTATGGGGATACGCAGCTGACACTGAAATTATATTTGTTTTGCAGAAGAGGGCCATAAGAGCAATTTATGATTTAAAGCCTACAGAGTCGCTGCGACAAAAATTTAAGGAAATTAATATATTAACTTTGGCCTCTCAATACATTTATGAAAATGTAATGTACGTACACAAAAATAAAAGTAGTTTTACAAAAATAAGTGATATTCATTCTGTAAATACTAGGAACAGACACAAGCTAGTAGTACCAGTTACTCGACTCCATCGAGTCAGTAATTCATTCTTGGGGCGATGTATACGCTTTTACAACAAAATTCCAGAAAATATACAAAGTTTGACCTGCTCAAAGTTCAAAAACTTTATTAAACTAAGTTTGTATAAAAAGGGTTATTATAATATTAAGGTATTTATGGATGATAATAACCCCTGGAAATGAGGTGATCGCTACCAAGCTATTTCTAATTTGTTGTGTTGTTAATTTGTGTAACATCATGATTGTAAGTTGTTATTTAAAAAAGTCCCGCTGGGTTTCTTGCTGGTTCTTCCCAGGACAGAGGATTTTTCCGAACCAGTGGTAATCAAACAAAAGAGTGACTTTCAATAAGTATTATTTATAATCTATATTGAATAAAAAAGTTTCTGTTTGTTTCTGTTTCTGTTTCTATATAGATAAGATAGGTCGAATCTGTACTAAAACCAAATCAGAACGCCCCAACTTCACGTAGTCGTGTCTGTCCTACCCCTAGAGTGTTTTTGTAAAGCCGTAGGCGCGGAAGGAGTGGAGCCCCCGCCCGCTGTGGCAAAACGCAGGCATCCTTGTGAGCCGTAGAGGCTGACGAAGGCGACCAATAAGCCGAAGCTGCGGAGGTGTGCATGGTTGCTTGTGATTTACTACGCAAGGGCGAAGGGGCTGCACTCCCCGCAGCGCCAAAGCCGTTGCAGAAGTAACTATGTCAATTTTCCTGCAACTCAAATTTCAACAGTTTGTTGCGGTGAAAATTTTAGAGCAACTAATTTTTAAACTTGGTACAGTAGAGCGTCGATTATCCGAACTAATTGGGGGACATGGGTGTTCGGAAAACCGGTTTATTCGGATAATCGAACTGTACAATTTTATGTACCAATGTATCAATAAAACATATTTATATGTAATACAAATTTAGTTTATTACAGTTGTAAGTAGGAATATTAATGAAGTGCAGATAGCTTAATAAACAAAACAATGTTGTATAATCAATATTGAATATACAGTATGCTTATAAAATTAAAGTTTAAAGAGGTTCTTAATTTTGGTCTGTCGAAGCGAACCTATCCTCTTACGCGCAGCTAAGTCACGCACTTTTTTCAGAACAGATATCTGATACTGGTCGCTATCATCTTGAGCTTCAAACCATCGCAAGGCAGTATCTAAGCAAGTAAACGCTTCAGAAGCAGTAGGTATATTTTCGTCTTCACATTCTGATTCACTAGTTGAAGACGTGCTGATGGCATCAGCTTTGTCACTCACGACAACGAGGTCTACAATTTCGCTATCCTGCAATATTTGGTGCCCTGGATCTGCATCGTCGGCAGTCATCCATTCTTGAACATCTTCTTCATCAAATTCGCAGCAATTGTTTTTTAAGCATATTTATCATTTCAGACATCATTCTGTTCTTCAATTCCACTTTCACTTTGGGCACTTTCCGCTATACTCAAAATTATATTCGAGGCTTTTTTGTAATTCTGTTTTAAACTGTCCCAAGCTGCTCTGGATGATATGACCATATAGAATGCATCTTTTAAATCAATCTTTTTATAATTTCTAATAAGATTTTCTTCTCCCTCTTCTTCTCTTTCTAACAACAACTTATGTAGCAATTTTTTTCTGTAATATTGTTTGAAAGTCTCAATAACACCTTGGTCTATGGGCTGTAATAAGGAGGTTACGTTAGGTGGAAGAAACATCACTTTTATAAATTCATCCTTTTCATTTAGGATGTCACATGATGGATGGGTTAGTGCATTATCAAGGAGCAATAAAGTTTTATTTTTTTTTCCATTCTTTAGCTGATGGGCTTTTACAGCGGGTACATAAACTTCTATAAACCTTTCCGAGAAAATTGAACTGTTCTTCCAGGCGCTCTTTTATGAGGTGTAAACAATAGGCATTGCGGACATATTTACGTGTTTGAAACAACGCGGTTTCTTGCTTTTACCAATAACAAGCATAGGCAATCGGTGGGTACCAGTTGCATTAGCATAAGTTATAACAGTGATACGATCCTTGTTTACTTTAGGACCAGGTGCCGCTAATTCACGACGCGTAGCAAGAGTTTTTCGTGGCAAAGCCTTCCAATTAAGCTCAGTTTCGTCAGCGTTGTAAACTTTTTCCAGTACATAATCTTCTAGTTTCAATACGTCGCTTAATTTTATTTTGAAAGTGTCAGCTGCTGAAGAATCAGCAGATAATTGTTTTGCCTTTTCTCATAGAATGGGACCAGAGATAGATTCTCTCCTCTTAGGATCTTTCTTGTGTAAACCACTTGTAAACAGCGTCATCGAGATCGGTATTCGTGGCGGACTTCATAGTTTTACGACTTGTCGACCCATGAGTAGAATCAAGCTGGGATATAAAATTTGATATGGACGTGTTGTGTTTTTTTATATCCGTAATTGTCGTGTGAAGACTTACCCACTTTGTACTCATTAGGTAACTTGGTTGCAGTTTCGCCTTCCTCTAATCGTTTGTTAATCTCGTATTTATCTCTCATGGAAAGAACAACACGTTTACGTTTAGGCATTTTAAATTGTAAGCTAATAGGGCAAAACTAATACACAAAAGTGATCGTAAAAGAGCGCTTAGGGTGAATAAGAGTTTTGGCAAAGGTACACCGTTATCGGTACTGAACGTAGGGGGGGCTGCTGTGGTAGTCGCATCTCAGCGTGGCAGTAGTTCGGTTAAGCGGTCGTTCGGTTGATCGACGTTCGGATAATCGACGCTCTACTGTACCTAATTAGCCAATAATTTGGACTTTTTCTAAAAGCAATTTTGATTCTATTTTGATTTTCAGAAAACCTGAATTTTGCATCTGCTATGTTCTGAATAACGACTTTATTTTTATTAGGGGCGTCTTGTCATTGCCTTTACTCGTAGCACCTAATTAGCACTTAATTCCTTGCTATTAATATTTAAAGTATATCTAATAACTTCATTGCGTTGCTACCGAGACGTTTTGCTAGCAACGCAAAATTTCAACAGTTCGTTACGATGAAAATTTTAGAGCACCTAATTTATAAACTTGGCACCTAATTAGCACCTAAAATGCCCCTAATTTTGGGATTTTCTAAATGCAAATTCCTGATTTTGTGTTGCTGGCGATACACAACTTGTAAAAACGAAGATCACGAATGAAATGAAGACATGTCTTAATAGGCAAGCTAAAAATCTTAATAAAACATGTAATGAAGATTTGATGCTGTCAAAGGCTGTCAAATTGAGAGTTTTTTGGCGGGAACTTGACCGGCGGCTGTTTGCTACTCCTGTATTATTGTTTAAATAATGGTTTGAAGTGGACTTTGATATGTAAAAGTGGTGCGATTTTGTGTATTAAATCTCTCTGCGCATGTGAACTATTAGTGGAAACTGTGAAACAAGTGCTCTAATGGTGATGGATTCTCAAGATAAGCTGTTTGTTTGCATAGGCGCCTTTAGATACCATCGCCAATTGTCAGCTGCCTGCTGGGTCAAGTTGCCGTCAAAATTTCCCAAGGGCTGCACAATGTGACGCATCAACATATTGTAAAGCAGTGAACTATGAAGGATAATTATACATGAAGACAAGGCTGTATGGCATAGTTTCTTTGCCTGCTCTCTCGAGCGAATAATAAAAACAACAACAACAACAACTGTCAATTTGACTGCTAACTTTCAAACTTTCAATCCTGTCATGCGCCTAAAAATTATTTTGTTTTGGTTTTGGATTATAATATTTGGCATAATAACTGCCTGCCTTACTGCATTTTATTGTTTTTGAAAACTCCTGTTTATTGCTGTAAAAGTGAATCCAATTTAATCCAATTAAAGCTATAGGAAACAAGAATGGCCTTTAGTGAAATTTGTAGAATTTGTTTATGCATTAATGTACGCATGTTTGTTCTAAAGAAGACTAGTCTCCGAAATTTGTATAAAACATTGACGAACAGTTTTGTATTTCTTAATACTGCAAATTGAAGTTGCGGTAATTTGTTGTTATCGCCCTAGATATACCGTATAACTTGCCCGATATAAAATGCGATTGATCGGGCTAAGCTAAAGTGCAGCTTTAAATATAGTGCAACCAGACAAATGCAACCAGATTCTGAAAAACAACAACTAGCCTGAAATCCTACTACGTACTTGAAGAGAAACCGAGACATAGTAGTCTGTAACACGCGTTAGAGCCCGTGGGCTGAACTTCCACGCGACCCGCACTGCTGTTTAGATATTTTCGCGGTGGCTGTTCTAGTACATATTATTACTATTACTGAGTATTATTGTGATTTTCTGTTAAGAAATTAACATCCACCCATATTTGGACTATTAAAGTGGGAGATTAGAGTGCACATGTGCTTACAGACACAGAAAGTCCTTCACTCTCATATTTCTCATATTCCTATCTGGCAGAAATCAGAGAAGGGAATATGTGCACATGTGCTTGCTTACACACACATGCAATATAATCCTGTCATGCACTGATAAATAGTCTCCATTGTGACAGAAATTCTGTCTGTAGAGCATTATCGTCATTATTTTATATGTAGTGGAGCCACGCTGCAACTGTATTATGGTTGTATTACAGGTTGGTCAGCTTTACATTAAATAGCAGCTTAATGCTGCTCTGACTTGTATGGTGAGTGTAGAGAACCGGACATCCTTTTTACTGAGGCAAGGTGTTCTGTCCAATGAGTGAGGACCAATCCTCAAGGGTCAACAGCACATCTGCATTTTGGTTTTTAATTGGGGATAAATTGTAGATGTCTATGGGCATTCACTCACCATCAGGTGGACTGTGTGCTCGGTTGTCACCCTTATGTATAAAAAAAAATTAGCAGGCCGGCAGTTGAAACAACCGATATAAGCTGAAGCTTTTTACTTCAAAGTTATTTAGTGATCTTATGTTATGATCTCTATTAAGTTTGTCGTATAGCCTAAGGGCCAAAAAGTCAAAATGTCTTCTAAATACAGCACTATTTGGAACAGGAGATCATTCCATCCTTTTTTTAAGTTTTAGTTTAGGGTCAGTGACACAATGATATCTCCTTAAACTTTGAAAAAAAAATATTTTGCAAACCGATGACACTTTCTCTCTGTCATATACAGATACTGTTGATTGGTGAAATGTTAGACAAAAGATTACTTTTAAGATACTTAGCTCTTTGTGCGCGTTCAACCTTAATTACATAACTTTTAGTGGCACCGCCCCTAGAACAAATGCAGTAATTAAAGACACACTCTCCCAGTGCTTTGTATGTTTTAATGAGTAGTGTGTGATTGACACCCGTGGGTGTCGTAAAAGGCGACAAAGGGAAACAGGCAGGAGATGGACAGCAGCATCTTCCTGGTAACGGCAAAAATACAATAAAAAACTGCAGTTGCCAACCCGCTCGCCAAGCGTGGCAACTATGGTAATATACCCCCCATGAGGAAAGTTACGAAGAGACGGTCCCCAGTCCCCGGCGGCCCCGCTATTCCTGGCTACGGTGGCGACCATCGTAACGGCAGGGCAGGGGGTGCTAAGAATCTCCGGTGGAGGTTCGGTTGCCACCTACGACGACTCGATCTGGCAACATACAACGCACGCACCCTGAGGACTGACGAGAAGATTGTGGAGCTGGAAGAAGAGAGAGACAAGTTACGCTGGCATATTATAGGATTATCCGAAGTCCGAAGAGAGGGGGAGGACACGGTAATCCTTGAATCCGGCAACTTGCTCTATTACCGGGAGGGCGACCATCTGTCCCAAGGAGGTGTCGGATTTATCGTCCACAAGTCTCTCGTTAACAACGTTGTAAAGATTGAGTGTGTCGACGAGGGTTGCGTACCTTATACTCAGAATCACCAAACGGTATTCGCTGAAGGTCATACAGGCTTACGCACCAACCTCGGCACACCCCGATCAGGAGGTGGAGGAAATGTATGAGGATATCTCTAGAGCCATGTATTCCTCCAAAACCCACTATAGGGTGTTAATGGGAGACTTCAATGCAAAACTAGGCACAAGAGAGAATGGTGAGCTGAAAGTGGGGAAATTTGGAATAGGGCAACGGAACTCAAGGCCAGCAGCTGGCCGGCTTCATGGAAAAAGAGGGACTCTTTATGATGAACTCTTTCTTCCAGAAGCGGCCCCACAGGAAGTGCACCTGGTCGAGCCCCGACGGTTCGACAAAAAATGAGATTGACTTCTGTAGTGTTATGCTACTTACATATCATTTTACATTATTTTAAATTCATTTTTCCATTCTGTTTCGATTTTCTGTATTCACCTCAAAACTGGATATTTTACATCACCTTTATTTCCATAGGATCCTGTAACGATTTTAAACCATAAGAACACAATAACAAATCATTTCTACTTCGTATTTTCACATCATCAGCACTTTTAAATTGGTGTCAATGGAGTCTACCTTTTTTCGATCTTTTAGCTAGTTTTCCGTAACTCTACAATCTTGGACTTTGTGTGGGCAGCTGCGCTACCTTTTTTCCTATATCAATAATATATGACCATTTACAAAAAATTTGCGTTTAATTTAAATAATTTTTCCGTTCTCTCTAGAAAGGTATAAAAGCCGAACAATCGGTGAAGAAAGGCAGTCTCGCTTCAGTTCGCGAATTGGAAGTATCTCCTAAAGGCCTTATCCCGGGGCCGCACTGCCCCGGGATCCTGCAAGCCTCCACCTACACGTGAAGTCTTCGGCGAAGCCTTCTTCAAGCGCGGAGCCGCACCACTCCGGAATCCTACAAGCCTCCATCTACCTCGGAAGTCGTCGGCAGTCTACTTCAAGCGCGGGGGCCACACTACTCCGGGCGCTACGACTGCTTACTCCAGGCGCCGAGTGCACCTACCGCCGGCGCTACCTTTGGGCGCTGCAACTGCTGGCTCTAAGCGTTGAGCGCCCCTTCTCAAGGCGCTACGTGCGCCGGCTCCGGACGCTGCGTGTGCTGGCTCCAGACGTTGCGTGCCGCCGCTGCTAAGAAACTTACCTCTGCAAGCGCAACCGGCGTGTGCCGGCTTCAGGCGCTGCGTGTCGTCGCTGCTAAGAAACCTCCCTCTACAATCGCAACGTGTGTCGCTTCGACTTTTAGGCCCCACTACATCTCTTTATTCCCCTATTCTCCTACCTTTATATTTTTTTTTGTAATCTAATTGTATTCTCACTTCATTCATCATCATCCTCATTTCATTTTTTTTATAAAATTGTAAATACCTTTTAAAAATTTAAATATATTGTTTTCTGGCTCTACTTTTGTTGTTTTGTTGTACTTAGGTTAGGTTCTATATTTTTTTTAATTGTCGCTTCACGACACTTCATTATGACGACCAGACGACAATTGTTCAGTGATGTCTCAGTGATCACGAGGGTGAAAACCGGCAGCGATCACCGAATGGTTAGAGGCACACTGAACCTAAACGTTAAGTTGGAGAGATCTCGTCTAATGAAGTCAACGCTCCGTCCCCCTCGTGCTCTAATCCAAAGTCCCGAAACCTTTCAGCTCGAGTTACAAAACCGTTTTCAGTGCCTAGAAGACAGCAATGAAGTGGAC